CTGAGATTAGCCCACTAGAACCCAACAGCCCAGATTGAATATGGGCCGATCAGACGGTCACGACCTCATTTCGTGTTGGAATTTTAATTTTTTTTCTACAAATCCAAATAACTTGAAATTTTAGGCATCAATTCTTACATATATGGAAAATGCTGAGATTAGCCCACTAGCTAATATGAACATATGTGCTCTGATGAGCCCAACGGCCCAGATTGAATCTGGGCCGATCTGACGGTCACGATCTCATTTCGTATTTTAATTTTAATTTTTTTCTACAAATCCAAATAATTTGAAATTTTAGGCATGTGTTCTTTAGAAATAGAAGAATCGACTCAAAATATCAAAAAAATAATTTGCAAGCAATAAATTGACCAAAATACCCCCGAAATGTTTCGGGGGTATTTTGGTCAAATTTTTTTTTGCGAATTATTTTTAAAATATTTTTATTAATTGCGCCTTGATGAGAAGAATTGACGACTAAAATTTCAAGTTATTTTGAATTGTAGAAAACAAATTAAAATTCAAACATGAAATGAGGTCGTACCGTCAGATCGGCAAAAATTCAAATCTGGGCCGTTGGGCTAATATGTTCATATGAGCTAGTGGGCTAATCTCAGCATTTTTTAATATATATATATATACACACACACACACACATATATATAGTGTTATGTTAGGGTGCTCACACTATAGAGTAATTTATCATTCTACTGAACAAATTTTGGATACTTCTATACCCTTGTTTTGTATGTGGAGCATTTTTTAGCAAGGGTATTTTTTGTCATTAGGAGGGGTGTGACGTCATCCACATGGATTGTGACATCACCCATATGGAGCACACTAGTGGCATTTAATGCTCCATGTGGCTGAACAAGATTTATGTAGCCAACCCCAAATACTTGCGATAAGGCTTAAATGATGAATGTAGGGTGTACCACCTACTCGAACTCGCCCTATGGGTGAGTCCAAGTAACTCACTCGAGTCTAATTTGACTCAAGCGAGTCACTAAACACTGTTTAAAATTCATAGGAGCATAAATACAGCTAAAAACAATATTTCTTAAGTTCTTAAAAAAACACTCAGAAATCGCTTTAGAAGTTTATTGATATCAATGGATTAAGAAAAGTAACTGTTAGTGCACTCCCCCGTGCTAGAATCCATAAGTCACAACTATCTTCTCAAACCAAACCAACAGGACTCATGACCTATAGTCATGCAAGGGTTCATGATTGACCCGTCAAAGTAGGCCAATAAATAGTGGAACTACGACTCTAGTATATGGATTACAGGTTGCCCCCCCCAAGAGCAAGTCAGATGCACATATCACGATATTGCAAAGGTAACTCTCTCTATACACATTTACACATATCCCTCTATAGGATTGCTTCCCAGAATACGGTTGTCATATATACATATCATATGAAGGTTTATTGAAGATTTGATCCTTGCTCTCACAGGCCTACAACTACAAGCAGGAATCTCAATCGCTTCCAAGCCCACAAACATCATCCCTGGGCATCTGTCTCACCTCCAAAAATGATGGCCCTCCAAACCCTCAACTGTAGTGCCTACACTTAGGGGAAAGGGTGACCTAGGCCATAGACCATCCTACCTGAGGTCAGTCAACTAACATACACTCCCACTGAAGTGCACAATTCACTATATTTATTAATTTTACATGCTCTCAGGGGTTTACCCAACAGTACACACACATGATTACATGCATAAACCACATGTTGGTCACCGACTTTCTTGTACAGTCAAATTTCTAGATTTGTGTTATTAGTGTTTGGCAATAAAAGGAGTTTCAACTCTTAAGCCCTACTGGACATTCAAGATCTATTGTTAATAAGACATCTATCAAAATTATCCATACCAATAAATACTCATAACAGATAAGGTAAAAATAAGAACAACACTAAAATCTTTGCTAAAGGAACTTTGACACAAGACCAGCACTGAAGGTCGATGGTTAGGACAATCCTTCTTTCTTGTTACAACTTACATGTTATAATAACTTAATTGTTATTAATAAGACTCAATGAATCTCTTCAGAACTTAGCGAGTCACCCAGCCAGATCTCTCATTCTTTTTTTTTTCTTTTTTTCCTGTTCAAATTCTTTTGTAGTTGCAGCAAGGCGCTGTGTCAATTCAACTCAAACAAGTTGACACACCAAGTTTAAACAGTGCAAGGCACATGCCAAAAAACTCGTGTAATTAGAATTTAATAAAGACATCAATTTCAAATAATCATTCTCAAAGCGTACACGGACTCCTATACATAGATTTTCAAATCTAAAGGCAAAATTGAAGTCTTTATGCTGTTAAAATCTTCAAAAAAAAAATTTGAAGTCCTTATATTTGGTAAAGAGGAACAATAAGTAACTTCAATAACATAGAGACCCTGGTGCCCCAGCAACTTAAGAACGAGGGATTTCCACATGCCAGTAATTTCGTATGGCAGAGAATCCAGAGATGTCAATTGGAAATAAGAATCAATGGAACTAGCTTTGAAGTACAACATAGCGAAAAGCGCTAGGAAAACAAAATAGAAGATTCTGATCCTGGAGAAATTAGTCAATAATGGACATATAAGGATCAACAGAAAAAGAGAACAAAATGGAGGGCAAAATGTCACCTTTGGTATGCCATTACGCAAACATGGTAAATAGACGTGGCGAACCATCCATTTATGTACAGGCTGTGATTAAACAATTTGTTATTAAGCAACCTGATCAACAAATAACTATAACCTTGCAGAACACAAGATACAAACGAAACCCAAACTGAAAGCATTAAGCTAAACGACAAACCGCATAGTCCTCCTCAAGATCAAACAAAGTAAACATACCATGTTCCACATCCTCCAATACTGAAAAACAACCAACAAAGAATAATGCAGTAAACAAAATAGAGTCAGCAAATTCCAGATAGAATGAAATAATGGGGGGATACCAAACATAGGAACTACTCTAAATCACAGTAATGAAAAGTTGAAAACTTCACCTCTTCAATTGTTTTTGCATTCCACCAATCTTTATAAAATTCTCGATCACCAAATCTCAAGAGCTCTGCTAGTATGTTCAACCTAATACAGAAACAGAAGGACGTTTATTTACAGAGTCATGTACGAATCAAGCAGATGATAATAATACAGAAATTCTTCATTCTTAAAGAGTTCCAAATGTATATAGGTAAGAAGAGGGGGAGCGATAACTATTCATATGAAGTTCAAACAACAAAATCAATTCAGCAAGAAAAATAAGTTTAGAACGTGATCTCCAATGCTCAATGAAGAGTCCAAGTCACTCAAAAGGCAAAATAGCAATTTCTCCTTCCAAAACAACTGTTACTTTCGTGTATTGTTTTCAAAATTCAATATAATTGATTTCTCATCCATATCACCAAAATCTTTTTCTTTCTGTTTTTTTGTGTCTAGATTCCCTCCCTCCCTCCCTGGAACACAAACAGGAAGAGCACTTGCCCCACAAAAGCAGAAATGAAAAGATACAAAGGAAGATATTATCCAATCCTCATTTCAACTATTGCTGCTGAGAGACCATGTCTGCATCCCTTTTTCCCAACATAGTAAAGTTGAAATTCCTTCTGAGAAAAATGCTCGATTCCTATTACTAGCAGCCCAATGGATGTCATGACGAACCAATCACTTCTTAAATGATAAAAAACTTGTTCAAAAGGAGAATAGTTATTCCTGTTTCTCCCAATCCCAATATATGTCAAGAGGTTCGACCCTAACCAAAGACAAATTAGGTGGAGATAAAACCATAACACTAGTCTCCTATATGAAGAAACTCAACTCAAAAATTTATATTTGAATCAAGAAAGCCTTTCAAGATCTTTAACCTTGCAAAGCAAAAAAAAAAAACATTCACTCAAACAAATCCAGATTTAGCCCCATATCTATCTTACTCAAATTAAAATTTTCAAATGAAGTTGCTGCCATTCAACATCCACTTTGAGATGTTGATATACCATTTTATGTTCTTCGAGGTCCTAATCATCCCATAAATACCCTTTCTGGTTATTTATGATTATATATGTTTATTACCTCCATAACCACCCAACCTCTTTTTCCAAAAATTTCTGCGACTCTTACTTTCACTAAATGGAAGAAAGCAGGTCATCCTTAACCATTGTGCACTATCTCCACAAAATAATTTTGCTGTGTACTTTTCATATGTATCGCCACAGACACAGGAGAAATGTATGCTTTATGATGGAGGCTTCAGGCCCACCAAACTACCCTACTAGGTAAGATTTTGTGGCTAGTAAAACACTCATCCATGCAATGTCCACCCGAGTAGCAAAATATGGCTCCATCATCATGGTATCAGGGTAAATAGAGCAAATGCTCCCCCATGCACCAATCTGTATGTTTTCCTTTGGTAATGTTTCTACTTTTAAATAAATGTCTACTTTTATCCCCATATCCTGTTTATAATCTGAAGTAGGATTTCTTATTGACAGAAAAGCATGTGACAGTTTTTTCTTACCCATTTGTCATTCTGCTCATTCCAGTGGAGTGTAGAGATTTTTAGACTCTGAGAGAGAAACGTCAATCGTAAACAACGCTGGCCCAGTTTGCAGCAAAATTCAGGAAGATATACTTGAAAATTGCAAATTACATATACTTTAAGGGTTTTGTTTCATAGACATATGGAACCTTGTTTAGGAACAAAATCATACAAATCAGGTTCATACCAAGCAGATTGACACATACTGCATAGTGTGAAGCCATTTGAGTCGTGGCTTTTTTTTTTGTGGACAGAGTTAACATTTGTATTAAAAAAAGGGATAGTACAGGGGCGAGCTACCCATGAGAAGGGAGCTATATACATCGAAAAATGGCTTCCCACTTACTGCAAGCTTTGTAAAAAAATGGATATGCACAAACGAGGAAATTGAGTGGACTGAGGGCGCAAGAAAATCGTCAGTCGCTAGAGTTAGTTTCACCAGCTTTTGTGAGAGTGACAGCTTCTGTGTTTCCTTCCCTCCAAGTGTGGTTCGAGGAAATGTTCAAGTCCCTACACAAGTGGTAGATTTCGTCAAACAGATGGGAAAGGGGCAAGGGGCAAGTCGAATAGCCAAAGGCCCAAGATATGACGTTGCTAGTGTCACCTTCTAAAATATAGAAGGGGCCCCACAACCGATCGAACAATTTGAGGCCTTCAAGGAGGACAATGGATTCAGCCATTTGGGAGTTTGAGTCGCCTAAGTGCCAGGAATAGGAGACCAAAGTCGTGACTACATGGTCCCTGAAGAGACCACCAATGCCAGCAGGACCATGCTTGCCTAGAGAGCAACCATCAAAATTGAGTTTTACTTGGCCAACATCAGGTGGTTTTCACACGGAAGCACGAGGGATGCGAGGGCAGGTAGGGTTGAGCAGAGCCACCCAGTTCGATTGGAATGTCGACGGAGGAAATCCCTTGCATAGCTTGTGGATAGAGGCCCAGAAGATGACTGCAGTCTTAATCTTCACAAAACGGGCAGCTGGGGGGAGCTCTCTCCGTGAAAGATACTACTCTCTGTCTAGACAGACCAAAGGAGGGCTGCAATCGAGGCCGTCCATAATTGTATTCCTGATCTAGCCCAAAGAAGAGGTATTCCTATCCCTCACAGGGGGTAGCAAGAGTTTATTGTAGGAGGAGGAGACTGTGAAAAAACTTGAGAGCGCCGAGACCAGATGAACTTATCTTCGCCTCTGGGTGAGAGAAAGGTTAAATGGAGAAGGGAATATAAGTCGAGGAATTCTTGGAGCTCAGAGCCAGAGGGAGGTCTTTTGAAGTTGGGGCTCCCAACCTTGGCTGAATCCTGGAAAAGGAAGAGTTCAGCTACTGTGGCTTCTCGGTTGGACGCTAGAAGGAAGAAAGAAGAGCAGCGGTCTTTGAGGGGAGTAAGTCCTATCCAAAGGTCTTGCCAAAACCTTACCTGGCTTCCTCCCCGAGCATGTAAATGTATCCTTTGATGAGGTTAAGGATGTTAAGGAGGGACCGCCAGATTCTTGATGTTGTACTATTAGGACCATAGTTACATAACCAAGAGCATTGGTTGAGGTGGTACTTCTGGCATAGGACCCTGTTTCCAAAGGTGGCCTTGGGTCGCGTAGTGCCACCACCATTTCCCCAGGAGGGCTATATTATTTTTCCTAAGGATATGGATGCCTAGACCACCTTGGTTGCAAGGGAGGCAAAACCAGTCCCAGGAAATGAGATGAATTTTATGTCTATTTCCCTCACTGGCCCATATGAAGTTCCTCATGAGCTGCTCAAGGCGAGCGCAAACTATTGCTGGCATTTGGAAGAGGGATATTTGGTTGATGGGCACACTAGAGAGGGTAGCTTTAATCAGGGTAACTCTACCTGCCAAGGTGAGGTAGCAACCTTCCATGTGGCAAATTTCCGGTCAAAATTGTCAATGATATTGGCACAAATACTTCATTTCGGCTTTCCCAGGCACAAGGGGAGCACGAGGTAAGTATAAGGAAGATTTTCAGATTGACAACCCCATCTCTTGACCAATTCATGTGTCGTAAGGGGGTCAAGAGCCACCCCCATCATCTAAGATTTGCACATGTTAACTTTGAAGCCGCTGGCCCATTTGAAGCACTTGAGAAAAGGAGGAGGGTGTGGGTGTCGATGTCCGAGGAAGAGGACTCATAGAGGACTAGAGTGTCGTCTGCATATTGTAAGTGGGTAATGGACAGCCCGTGGTTCTCACAGTTAAAACTTGTAGTTTTCTGGCACTTGCACGGATCGCATTGTGGAAGGCATCCAAGAATTGGCCTTCAGGTCAGTAATACCTGTTTGAGTAGTTCCCTTAAAGGCAAGTAAGTACAACCTATTTTTAGGAGTTGAAGCTCAGCTTATGATCTACAATTTCTTGCATGCAACCATCCTGAAAAGAAGAGACCATTAAGTGAATGATTGAAGACTTCGGCCACAATTGCAAAGAGAGAGGGGGAGAGAGGTCACCCTATCTCAGGATCCTCGTTGACAGGAAATAGCCTTTGGGGGATACGTTGATTAGGACTGAGAAATTAGGTTAGAGGTGCAACCCGTATCCATTTCCTCCACTGAGGCCAAATCCCATGCGAGTCAGGGTTTCAGCTGAGTCAACATGATCGTAGGCCTTTTCCCATTCGAGTTTGATCACCAATATAGGGGTCTTAGAGAGGTGCCTAGAATGGATACATACATGGGCAATGAAAGCCCCATCTAAGATTTGTCGATCCTTGACAAAGGCACCTTGCTGGGGGGAAATGACAGATCCTTGGACTTCTCTGAGACAAGAGGCGAGGACCTTAGAAGCTTATAAGAGCTATTGATTAAGCTGATGGGACGAAAGTCCTTAAGCTCTTCGGCCCCTCGACCTTAAGAACGAGGGCAATGAAGATTGCGTTGAGAGATTTGTCGACAATTCCCCTTTCAAAGAATTCCTTGTTGAGAAAGGCAATAGGGAATCCATTGGGGCTAGGGGCTCGGTCGTGGCCACAGGCATGAATAACGCTGAGGATCTCGTCTTCTGAGAAGGGGCACTCTAGCCAGGAGGCTTCCTCAAGGGAAAGGGTAAGGAAAGTCAGGTCCCCCATGGAGGGTCAGGGGTCAATAGGAGTAGTAAAGAGGAGTTTGAAGAAATCCAGAATTACTTTGTTGATCTCTTCTGGATAATCAAAAATATTTTTTGAAACATTGATACAAGTAAAGGTATTATCACACCTCCTACAATTGGTGATTTTGTGGAAAAAGGTCGTGTTAAGGTCCCCGAATTAGAGCTATTTAACCTGAGAGCTTTGGTACCAGTAAATTTCATCCTGCTTGAGGAGGGATTGGTATTTAATCTTCAATTGGGCTCTCTGTTTTCCTTCATCTTCAAGAAGAGATCTATGTTCCTCAAAGGATACCCAAGTTTGGATAGACTGCAGGATCACACCTTTGCAAGAAGAGATTGCTCGGAAGCTGCTTGCTCCATTCCTTCAGTGACAGTTTAAGGAGATGGAGTTTTTGTTGAAGCCAAAAACCAGCTCGACTAGAGAGAGGGTGGAAAGGAATCCCGCCAAAGTGGGATCAGGTTAGAGATGATGGGTTCTTCTAGCCATGTAAGCTCAAATCTGAAGGGTATGGGCCCTCTGATTTCTGATTGGGTATTAAGGATGATGGGCAGTGGTCTGAGGTTGGTTTGGGTAGAGCTGAAGCGTGGGAACCCGTGAATAGTGTATCTCATTCGGGGCTAAACAGGAACCAGTCAAGTTTGGAGAGAGAATGGGAGGTGGAATGGTTGGACCAGGAGAAATAGGCCCCTTCCAGGGGGATGCAATCAGATGGTTCCTTGAGATAAAATTGGAAAATTGGTTCATGCTGGGGGTCAATCGTGTGCACACATTTCTTTTATTTTTTCTTTTATTTTCTTTTGATGGAAAAAAATGTTAGAATTGATCCTTAAAAATTGAATCAAGGGCATAATGAGGAAGGCATCCAGTAGCAGAAGGTTATAATCAAAAGATGCAAAAAGGTTAACAATAGCACATGAAGCATCAAAGCCTAATTGGTGTTGGTACATGGAACATTTGCTTATGTATCAGATAATGAATCTCAACAGGCACATAGACCATCCATCCACTGATTGTTATCAACAGATGGTGGAAATGAGTTCCTAAAGTGAAATTACCTTCACCCTTGTCTGTTAGAGGAAAAGCACTTCATCTCCACTGCCTGTTGCTATGGATGATGGGTGGATAGTCATCTACCTCCCACCATATTTTCTGTGAGTATAGCATACAGTCCCATCTCAAAATAGAGACATGGCAAAGGGATCACACAACCACTAAGTTTATTGAAGGCCCAATGGTAAGTAGAGAGAGGATCAGAAAATGTCAGTTAACGGCCAACTAAGAAGACCCATCCAAACCAACAAAAAGGGACCGATCCATAAAAGACAAAGTCCATGATTTCATATGGTAGGTCGCAAGAGGGATCATGAGTGAAAAAATAATTACAGAATGAAGTGCTGGCAGTTCCAACACATTAGATAGCATTTAACGCACGCACACATGCATACACACCCACATATGCATGGTTCTTGTTACAACACTCTTAGCAAGATAAGGTTTCGAGAGTGGAGAAGAAAGAGAAGTCATTAGGTGGCTTGTATGCTACACCTTTTTAATCATTTTGGGGTTCTGACAATACCGACGATCATGATAGTTACTTAATCAAACGAAATGAGATGATGATGATTCATATCTCAATATCTATAAAATGGCCAAAAGTGTTGGGGTTGTGTGGCCATTTAAAGGCCTTATGAGGCATAGACTGAAATTATTATAGTGAAATAATGGCTCCAATGGGAGTGTGGTTCACTTTGGAATGTGAGGCATTTCTAATGCCTGGACTCACCTAAGCTTTCACTGGCTATGGCTCAATGTGACGTCTAAAAACTCGTAGTCCTGGGCATTGTGTGAACACAACCAATAAGGGTTTTCATGGGGTTATCTCTTGATGAGGTCGAAGTTGTGCCCAAGACAGTTGGCCAAAGGACATGGATTTGACCCCGGTGTGATGGATGCCCTAAGAGGACAATAGCCTAAATCCACATCATTACTATCACACGGCATGTACACTAGATAGACATTCGGGAAGTGGCCCTTTGAATAAAGGTGTGTATCATGTGTACATGTGTGAAAGAGATAACTCCCTGCAATACTGGATTGTGTTGGAAGGACCCATGGCGCATAGTGATGAAATGGGGTCTGGATTTGTCCTTTTGGAGGGACCTGTAATCCATAGACTAGGATCATGTCTCCTTCATTTATTGGCTAACTTTGATAGTCCAATCATGAACCCCTGCGAAGGACTGTGGGTCATGAGTACTGTTGGGCCCGTTTAAGAAAGTCCAGTGAGATGGAGTCTCTAGAGAGGATGGTGTCCTCAGTATTTTCCTAAATCTATAGATGAAATTCCCATCAAATCTTTTTAAATATGTTTAAATTTTAATTATTTTTCAGATACTTAAAATGAATTTTTAGACTTCTCTGTGCATTTTATTTTTATTGAAAAACAATTTTAAATAAGGAAAAATCATTTTTTTGGATTTATTTTAATTAGAGAGAAAAATAAAATATTTAAAAGCTTTATAAAAATTATTTTATTATCTGAAAACTATGTTTAAAGTATTGGGGGCCCACTGAGGTTCTTTGGACCCACCATATTGTGGGGCGTGGGGCCTACATGGCCGTGCACCCCACCTCCTCTATACCTTCCTATTTTAAATTATGGCAATCAAGCCATGGGTTGATTTGAGAATTTTAGGAAAGTGTTTTGTGTAGAGATTTTGATTGTTTTCAAAAGGGAAAGTATAAGAAAATAATTGGAATAGATTTAATACTTTCTCTACACAATACTTGACGGCAATAAAGTTATCGAAACTGAGGGATAATGGTTCCATCTCATTCTTTCAATCATGATGGTTGATCTAAGGAATGAATGGATGAGATCTCTTCACCCTACAGGTTTCCAAGATCAAAGGTCAAGATTAAATCTCATAAAGATGGAAAAACCCTAGCCTATGTTGTATATAAACTAGCTTGGGGGGGGGGGGGGGATGGGTTCACTATCTATACTTCAACTTTCTCTCTCTCTCTCTCTCTCTCTCTCTCTCTCTCTCTCTGAGCCTCCCAGGGGTGACACGCTTATCTCTCTAATGTCTCTTCTTCTCGCCTAAGTTAGGGTTTAGGAAAGAAATAAACCCCAAGGGGTGGCACGCCCAAGCCACATAACCTATCCCTAGGTCTTGGCCTTATTCTCATATGTTGAGCCTTAGCCAAAGATATCACATGTTATGCTCTCTGCTGGTTTTGTCTAGGCTTCCCAAGTTGTGAGACAAGTTCTTGGACCTAGATCCCATGTGCCATTGGTGAATGAGACTTGGTGTGGGGTGTACAAAATCCTTGAGGGTAACCTATGGCAAGGTATGCGGTAATTTTGTTTGATTCATGCTTTCTTGATTTCATTGCATCTTGCACTTTTCATATCTATGTTATGAATGTAATTTTGTTTTCATGGCAAGCAAGTGTGAATCATTGGCAATTTTATTTGGTTTATATTGTATTTGGACACTTGTGAGTAACTCGGGTGGCAATATATAGAAAAGATAGAAATTTTTTAATCAACATTGACTTGCCCGGTCATATAGTCCTCCTTTCAAAAAGTACCCACATGCATGGATGAACATTAACACATGAACAAGCACGTATATCAGCACGCACATGTATGCAGACATGCAAGCAAGCCAACATATCAAAAGCTTATGTCTAGTGAGAAATCAAAAGCTCACACAAACAGCAGTGCATCAGTGGAATGCACATCAGAATTTACAAGTGCTTCAAGTAAAAATATTTTGATAAGCTAAAGAGATAGCTGACATACCACAAGTGAAATAAGCAATAGAACATGCAGAGCCAGACGTATAAGGTTGGAACTGATAGCTTCAAGACTCTTTCCATAGCATACAAGAAGTTTCCTTTCAGAGGGTGCTGTGAGTTCTTTACAATAGGATTTATGTACTGCAAAATTCTTCCATCAAAATAAGACAAAGAATAATGTGTTCAGAAATAAATTATTAAGTTTTAACCAAGCAACCAAAATTCAAGGCCCAGCTTTTGCTCATGGAGGAGGAACTCACTTGTTCTATGATAAAGCCCATAAGTCCGGTAAATATCACCAACTTAATCAGTTGACGAATAATCCAACCCTTCCGAATGAATGCAGTACGAGGATAGCTCGGCTACAAAGGCAAACCAGCAACAGAAAGTATAATCATGTATAAGTGCAGCATCTTTGAACATTAATAAAGAATATTGCAGAAAAAAAGAAGGACAAAAACTCGAATTGATGTTATATAGTCTTTGGTATCTCCTTTACAATTATACAAGTTTAGAGAGACACATAGTTATTCCCACCAACCAATAAAAGGTGATAGATAAAACTGGAGAAGAAGAACATTAGCAAGTAGTTCTTCAGATAGAATGTTACATCAAGACAGCCATAAACAACAATCCACGAGATCAAAATAAGCAATAGATAGAATGTGAAAAGCACCAAAAAGAAAATAACAGAAGCCTGAGGTAGAAATATGTAACAGAGCAGTCACGAGAACAAATAAAAGAGACGAGATTGGGTACCTGGTAGCATAATGTGGGGGCCACAATGAAATAAGCCATATTTTTTAAGGTGATATTCTGAGGGTTTTCAAGCTTTGTAGTAAGGGACCCATCACCCTGATAATACAAAAAATTGCACTACTCTTAAAAGAGCAAAGAGAAAATCCTTCCAATTGTACATACCAGAATGTCAGAAAAGAATTCTGAGAAACTATGCATATGCAATACTAACTTTTGATTGCACAAAAGAGACCAGAAAATAGTAACAGAGCAGGCATGATATTTGCTAAAAGTAATGGTAAAAATTGTATGACATTGGAGAAGTACATGATAGTTACATAACTATAATACAACCATGCTATGCTGAACCACATTCTCATTTCTGATATGAACAGACAACAATATATTTTTGTATTTTCTCGAATTCAAAAAAACCAGCAAAAAAACTCGTAAGGTGGGACATGTAACATCCATGGATCTCGTTATGTGTTAAGAAATTTTCCAAAAGCCAAAAAAACTAACATGCTTCATCAAGTTCAACAAAATGAACAACAAAAAGATCGACCATGCCCAAAGAATTGAATGTCTTCGGGCAGCTAACATTTTGGTAGGTTTAGGCAGTATCACTAATTCCTCATTGTTTTGTCAGACATTAGAACAGCCAACCTCCCACACAACTTGTTTACGTTGAATTTCATTCTGACTGATCTGTAAAGCAAGCAACTCTCATTATTCACAAATTGGGGACTAAACTAACGAGAAAATCAAAGTGCACCGGGGGTTAATGTAAAAAATTCCCTTAATGTGTGCATATGTGATATACATGCCTAAAATGAAATGTTCCCGCGTGTAAGGTCTATTTATATTCAATAGGGATAATTAATTGATTTTTATACGATGAGCTCACAACAAAGACCAGAAATAGAAGTGATAAGCATAATATATTCAGGACACTAAACAATAGATAGCCTTCAGTGTGGCTCTACATGGTACACACGCAGCTGGGTCATAAAACCTAATTTAATGGAATGAGCCAAAGGAAGTCCAGTGACCGCAAGTTTTCAGCAGCACCATGTGGAACAAAAATGATGGTCTACTAAGGCTTAAAGGTGTGGCTGTGTGGACTTCAAGTTACTAAAATAAACAAATTTATTCTTCTCTTCATTAATGAACTAAATTCCACTAATAAGTGCCACAATACACTATTGTCAACAGAAAATAAGAATCTAAATACAACCTAAGATCTTTGCTTTTACTTCCAAAATAAATAAACACTAACCAGGAACAAAAACCAACCTTCCACTATCAATCCTGTAAAATCACAGTAAATATGCAAAGATGACTAAAAAATAAAAGTCAACGGCTGGGAAGACTTACTCAACAGTGACTAGGGTTACACCCACAGGATTTGGTACACTCCAATCCCAATTTCTTGACCGATGGTGTACTTCTGTTCCTATTGATCTTGTTGGAATTTCAGAGACGGGAAATCTTCATAGGCTATACCTCTTAAATTAGGGTTTAAAAGAGCATGAAAACACAATTAGGGTTTGTAGGAACCCCTTAGTATCAAATTAGGGCATAACATAAAGAGTGAAACTCTTCCTAGGCTGGGTATACCTCTCTCCAAATAATAAAACCCTAGATTAGGATTTGGTATGCCACCCCCTCTTATTTTATTCTAGGGTGGCATGCCACTACGACGGAGAGAAGAGAGATGAATTTCAGACGAAAGAGAGACTTATTTGGGGCATGGAAGAGATAAAGAGATTGATAGGTGAGAGAGGCTCAATTGTGTAGAGAATTTAGGAAATCTGTGTGGTGAGAGACTAAATATGAGTCATCCATCCCAAAAATCAACCATCATGATTTAAAGAGAAATATTAGGAACATTATACCTTTAATATTTGACTCATATGCACTTCTAGTCCAATTTGGAATAAACCAAACAAGAACCTTCTAGAACTTCCTATATCCATTTCAAAATTGTGGCAAGTCAAAGATAATATAATTTTTGGTCAAAACTAACTCCCACAAAAATGGGAACATAATCTTCCGTTTTAAAAGACTATCATTTTCAACTTAAAAGCATTATTTTTAATTTAAAACAAACTTATAAAAAACAAGGAGCAGGGGATGCCACCCCCTATGGGTGAAATGTGGCCCCATGAGCCCCACGCCCCACCCATGTGAGGGTGGCATAGATATGGGGATGGATCAAAGGGCCCCACATGTGCCCTACCTTATAAACAATATGTCAAAAATAGCCTTTCAAAGGATTTTACAACTTAATATAAATTTCAAAAATCTGAAATATTCTAAAATTCACATAAACATTTCTAATACTAAAAAAAATATATCTAGAAGTGTATTGGTACCAATAGGGTAAAAACAGGTGACTACAAGGCATTTCATCCAACTCGGTGACCATCTCAAACCGACCCAACAAGACCCATGACACATAGTCTCATAATTGGCTCATCAAAGCCAGCTAATAAAAAGTGGAACCACACTCTCGGAATGTGGATGACAGTTCCCCCCCTTAGGACAAAGTCAATCACATGTCACTACAGTGCAAGGGAGCCTCTCTCTTTGCTCAGGTACATGTGTCCCTCTATAGGGATGCTTCTCGAAAATGCAGCTATCATATGTACACATCGTGTGAAAGTTTGTTGAAGATTTACCCCTCGTTCTCATAGGCCTACATCTACATACAAAATACCACACAGTTCTCCTGGCTCACAAACCATCCCTGAACATCACTCCAACCTCAACAAAGAATGACCCTCTGTAAACCCTTTTCGGTAGTGCCTCATGCCTAGGGATAAAGGTTTTAGACATGACCTGGGCTATAGACCGCCTAACCCTTAGTCAGAAAAAAGGATAACACTGCCATAGAAGTCCATAATCCACTATAAATGTCTTTTTGCATGCTCTCATAGCCTTTAAAGGCCACAAACCCCAACAAAAGCATGAAGTAAAATTATTTGAGCATTGAGGGTCCCATATGGACTTAAGGCATTGATAAGAGTGTGGGTTTTGAATGAGTGTTTTGCAGGTTAGCGATTATTGTTGGATATCCCTTGGATTACAGTTTCACTGATCATGCAACTTCAAAGGGGCTCCCCAATCCCATGATGCTTGGTGCAATTAAGATAATAACGACGTATGGTGAAATTTCATGTTATGGATAACATTATGTACTAGGGAGGGAAATATGGTAGTGGATACTTCATCAAATAAGTGTGAAACTAGCGACATTTTGGTGTAGAGAGAGTATATGCCAAAAAAAATTCCTCCTACCCATCTGTGACTAATTTGTTTCCAGAATTTTTTCTCGATAAAAGAAAAAGAAAGAAAGAAAGCACTGTAGTGACAAAATAAGATTAACCTTGATTTATGTCCCCATTTCAAAATAAGATATAAGAGGTGAATGTATGAGGAATGAGGCATCAGGCCAAAGGGTCATCGTCACATCATCCATCATTATAATCATCCTAGCCTTATCCCAATTATTTGGGCTCGGCTATATGAATGTTGTTCCTCCATTCTTCTCTATCAAGGGCCATACCCCCAGTAAGACCAAAAGTCACCACATCTTTTCTCACTACTTATATCCACCGTTGTAGGGTGCGGGGTGCATTCCCAAAAGCAGGAGCTGGCTCGGGTCCATATAACTGTGGATTGTTGGAAACTCCTTGTGGTTGGGATCTTTGTCCGTATGATCCTATATCAAGGGAGAGCGATCCTTGTCACCGAGAAGCGCAATTCCATGAGGAAGGACTCACAATAATATGTTTTAAGGGATTGAGAATGATGTGTGGGCTCAAAGTAACATTGGGCACAAACTTGAATTAGTGTTCAATAGAGAAAACATCATATGCACTGTGTCATACATTTGAGAACCACAGTTCAAACCTGCTGGGAACGAGGATCACAATTTAGGGATCCGTGTTCCATCCAAGATCCCTAGCTGGAACCGCAGGATCGAGATTCCAAAGCAGGTCCGTGACCTTTCCTACAAGGTTCCAATGACTATGCTTCTATCCATATCATTTTGGGTCTTCCCCTTGCCCTTTTAGAGCCTTTTACTTGAACCAAATCGCACCTCCTAACCGGTGCTTTATTAGGCATTAAGTCAAAGGATGTGTCTTCAAAAATAGTCCCCTTACTCAAATGGGTTTAGATTAGAACCATAATGGCAACTCAAAAGATAAACATAGTCTTGAATGGTATTTCTAGGATCTCTAGTACAGCTAAGACCCACAGACGGTAGAGGGTATATGGGATAAGTTCACCATTGAAGGTATGTCACTGACTGGGTTGAATGGGTTCAAGGATCTTCATTTACTTCGAGCTGGGTAGACCATAGGATGGGGATATTTGACTTCACTCATGCCTTCATGAAAAGCATGTTCTGCAACATCAATACTAGGATTTGAATCTTCATAGGACGCCTTCGCATGATACTGACACCAAGCAACAATGATAAACACAAAGCTGCTTGGATAAACTTTAAAGCTCATGTTGTAGAATTGAAGAGTTGCACCATGAGGCCCCAAATCTTTAAGTCTATTGCCTCCTATATTAATCAACAAAACATGACACTTATAGCCATCAAGAACAAACCAACCAACCATTGAACAATGCAAAATGTTAGAAGTATCATAAAGATAGCATTTAAGGACTCATAAATATATTAACACATTTCTTGAAAAGAAATTGCAGTGATGAATACATATAAATTGTATTCAAAACATTGACACGATAATAAAGATCCCCTTGACAAAACATAGAATGTGAGTTCCATTTTGGACTAAATAGATTCTTCGCAATATTTTGCTACTAAGAAGCAATAAGCTCCATGCGATCCAACCCAGCATATTTAAGACCTCTTACAAAACAAAGCATCCACCATGTCCACATATTTTCTTTTTTTAATGCCTAATTATGCCAATAAAAAAAATAGAAGAAAAAGAAAAAGGGAAGCACTTCAAGAAATATAAAAAAATTCTTCAGTGAACAGCACTTGACAGTTAAAACCCAAGATGAATAATATAATGATGAACATACAAGCACTGGAAATGATAAAGGACCTTATTTTCTGATTCCGCAAGAGTTCTTAAATCATAATTAGTATGTGCGTAGGAGACCAGCTTCAACCAAATAATGCTAGTAAACAGCATTAAAGCAAGGCCTGATAAAACAGCAGAATCACACCTGCAAATTATTTTAGGGTAAACATAATTGTGTTAAAAGGAAAATATTTATCACATAAACTGAAACTTCTAGAGGTCAGTATGAGTAGAAAACTAGAAATCAACATAAAAGGGACCTTACCTCAGTATCACAAAAATGGGATATAAGACTTCAGAAGTGGTAATTATTACATGTAACAAAACCACAATCTGCAAAAGAATGAAAGTAGCGCTCAGCATTGAAAAAACATGAAACAAACAGCATTCATGCAATGTGAGATATGTTGAGCTTGCTCCTACTTTATGTCTATTAAACTCCAATCCCCATAGAGGCTTCTTGGATTCAATTAAATACATACATCATGAATTGCAAGAAAGACTACCAACCATTTTAAACTTCTGCGGAAAGATGCTATACGTTCGATATCAGGAAAGCAGAAAGTGGAAAAACTCAATCATGCGAATATTGAAATCCTCACACAACAAAATTTCTAACAAAAGGAAATCCGGTCAAGAGGTGTGCATGTGGGTATGTGTTGGAGTGAGCATCAGTATGTGAAAAACAGCATACTTGCATGTAGGCACAGGCACCAAAAATTCGTATCTCCAAGTATTAAGCTCCTATGTGCACGCAGGAGAGTATGTGAAATATACTAGAACCTATAGAAGAGAGCAGTTCATAATGCTCAATATGATCTCGTATGAATCTATATATCTATGCATGCACATGGGAGCACTACACAGACATGCACATGCACACACACACACACGTTACAAGGACACAGGCACCGGTATCAGTATTTGACACGGACGTGATTTGTCCAACACTGCCCCCCAAAATAAGGCCCGTGGAAATGACATGCTCATACAATGCTCAAGTGTCAATATACGCACCTGTAGAAACATATAAACATATACTACAAGAATATTAATTACATAAGAAAATAATTAATAAAAAAATGTATAGGTATGTCACTAATGCATGGTCATGCATGTCTAAGATTTTAGTACATCTCGATAGCCAACAGACAGAGCCTCATGTATCTGAGAAGTGATTTGAGACATTGCTGGAAGTGTTTGTTACCACATCTTAAGTCTGAACCATAGTTACCGGGAGCGCCCATGTAGGGGTTCACTTCCGCCCCGGAATCTCGATCCCACACTCCAAGTGACCAGATCTCGATTCCAGACCCTTCCTTGTGTATTTGGATCTCGTACCCGGAGTTATGGGAACTCGATTCCTATTATTAGGGAACGAGTTCCCTAGCAAGTGGGATCCAAATCCGCATGGCCAAGATCATGGCTCCAATATCATTCGGAACCACATTCCATCACACCAGGAACTGAGTATCCTATACCATGGGAGCGACCTACACCTACAAAGTTTATTTTATTCATATATAGTATTCGGTTTTCCTCAAATTTTCTACGATGCACATATTTTTCAATGACACTTGTGTCCAATTTTAAAGAAAGGCAACTTGAGTAGGGACAAGATTGGAAGGAGGTTCAAAAGTTGGCCGCGTTGCCCATCATCGAGTGCCAATTTAGAGAAGGGTATTGTACAATTAAGGTAAACTGGTGCACTGTATACCACGATAATGTTGTTTATTGAATTTGGCGTGAAATCATGCTCTAATGCAACAAAATAAGGTTTTTCACCGAATTCGATATCAAATCATGCTCCAATACACCCCAATTCTGTTGTTTGTTGAATTCGGTCTAAGATCATGCTCCAATGACTTCAAAAATTATAAGGCAATCTCAATGCCATGATTTTTTATTACATTGATACCTTGGAACCGTGAATTTGGGAACAATTTACAATATACGAAAATAGTGAACTCCGGAAACCCCTATCCTAAGAACAGAACAATGCAATCCCTTTTAGGCAACCCACTCCTGCCCAGATAGCAATGCACTCCCTAGAAGTCATGGAACTCGCTCCCATCCCCAGGCCATGTACGGAGCTCGCTCCGCCATCCAGGGAACTTGAAGCTAGGTTTGCTCCACACTCCCGTTCCCATTCCTGGTAACTATGGTCTGAACTGACGGATAACATTACTCAATCCATATAAATGGAAATATATATACAGAAAAATACATAATGCAGTTAATTATAAAAAAGGATACACATGCAGTTATTAATCAAAAAATATATACACATGTACATACAAATTCACACGTGTACAAATACATGTAGGGATGTTGTATGCATGTGTAGAGTATCTGCATGCATGATTGAGTTAAGGAGTTAGTGACTATATTCACGAGTGTGGATGCATGCATCCAGCAAAGTGTGTCTGTATCATGAGGACAAGGGCACCCATGTCTCCAAGACAGCTCCTCAAAAAATGTTACGTTGGTTACAGACACATCTATGCTTGGGGCACTTATACATCTACATATAAAAATCATATTTGAGGTAAAACTAAAAGGCTATATGATATACATGAAGAAAATTCAGACATATGTCTAAACTTAGATGTGCATGTCTAATATTCTGTGACAATGCCAGCTTTGGCAGCACATAACTGTAAGTTTGAACCCATGACTAACCTCCATATTAGGGTTGTGCTGTGTGCCTGTCTTGGAATAAGTGCCTTCTCAGAACTGAAGTTCACAGGCAGGGCGAGAGAAGAACAGTTTAGAGGGTAGAACTCTAGGATAAGACACAGTTTTGACTTTCTCACAACATATCAATGCTACGTATGGGATATGCAAATATCTTTATTTTTCCAAGGTGTACATGTCTAGTCCACAAGCATGCAGAAGACTCACCAAAGAATCTCATCAGTCTTACAAGCAAAAGACAAAGTAAACACCAGAGACAAAATCCTTGCCCACGCCTAGGGACACATTTGCTAAAGACTGCCATAATACTTCAGACTGGGCTTTCCAAATTCAATGAACAAAATTCAAGTATAAATTGCACGCATAGACATTAAGTATATTAAAACATGGGTAAATCAACTATAACATATTAATCAAGATGAACTGTCCCATGAAATAAGAAACAAAACATCAGGGTTCCAGGAATGGCAAATTTCACTAGATGAATAAGTTCTTACAGATTCTGAAATAAATTTGTGCTGTACAAGCCTTTCAACCACAAAAGCAGCAAGAGGAAATACTGGCAGAGTGAGACTGCAACCAAAGAAACATAAGAAGACTTCATAAATCACAAACGTAAGTCAATTATGATTACTGGATAGAGATTATTTAATAGGGAACATCAATAGCATATAGTGGAAAGTGAACAAGCCACAGAATCCATACCAACACATTAAAAGTGGCCAATCTCTAAGTGATCTGGAGCTAAACCAAAATCCAGCTCTAATTAAAAGGCCATACTGTAAATAGAAGTCAAGAAGAAGTTATTAGACACCGGAAATTCCAAAATAACCTCCCAATAAACTACATTAACAAACTAGGTGCGAAGTACCCCGAGGCATCCTTGCTGTTATTTGTGAGGAATAAATATATGCAAAGCAAGAACTGAAGGTAAGTAAGTTACAAGTACCTTCATCAAGTTCTCAATAATAAGCCTGCTGTTCACTGCAATAAGTACCACAATACAGAGGTTAAAGAGACCGGCATGGCTCTGTCATAAAAAGGATCAATGTTAATGCAAAATTATGAATCAAATTGGGCATAAATGAAGTATCAGGTTGAGAACTACTTTCTTAAGAGCAAAATTACCTAGGAATTTATCATGTGCAAGCATAAATATAATACTAATATTTATAATGAAATTATATAAAAATTTGCAACCACTGCAACAGGTGTTCAAGGACTAAAGCAAGATCAATTTACATTTTATGTGATTGTTCCCAGTTCCATAGTAACATAAGTTCTTCTCTTTTTTCCCCTTTTTATAATTAACATAATTTCTTCTAGTTGGCACCAAATCTTATTCAAGCACCCATGAAGTCCAACAAATGATTATTAACTGGACAAGGTCAGGATCTAGATATAAGAAAAACAAAAGAACAATTTTTTCTATTTTCTTTACAGTGTTTTGCATTTAAATTTTCTATTTGATTTTGAGTATATGATTTTATGAGTTTTTATGTTGCTTTTTGTTCATTTTTTCTCTTTTTTTGCTTCCTTTTGTTTCTTGTGCTTTTAAAATATATCGGCCGGTCGACTGAGCTGGATTGGTAATTCAACACCTCGACTCAGGACTGGTGGGTGACCTTTTGAACCCACCAGTTCGAGGTTTTAAACACTGCCTAGTATTTTAAAGACACTAGGCATATTAGGGTGTTACTATGATACAAAAGAATGATTTGGACTAAAACATGTCATAGACAAGCTCTAAAAAATCTCAAAAAAATTAACAAGGAATCGGCAAGGATAATAAGCTAAAATGCCTTGGTATATATACCAGTACCGATATAGGGAGAAGGGTTATGACCCAATGATTTCTAAACTCCAGGACAAAGGCATGGCTACAGGTATATTATCGATACAAATATACAAGGAATATGACCAGAAGCTCATATTTGGCTCCCTAGAGTGGAAATTGGGTCCTTGTAAATGTCCAAGAAAAAGGCGAATATATAATAGAGAGGAAAGGTTGGAATAAAGTATGGAGAACAGGGTCTTTCTCGTGTGCCTTCTCCAAAACTACATCAGACAATAGAGTCTTTCCATTGTGCCTTCCCCAAAACTACACAGACCATAGACCCATCCTCCTAGATACCCACCCACTCAGTACACCAAACAATCCTTTTAGATTTGAGCTAAACTAGGAGGAACCTAAGCTTGCTCAAAATATTCATTGTTGGAGGTCTTCTTTCAATATCTTTGGCTGGGCAGGTTTTCACCACTCTAAAAAGTTGCAGCTCCTCAAGAACACTATAAAACAATGGTGTTAGTTTCACCCTAAGCCTCTGAACAATTCCCTCACTTCTATTAGTCAAGAATTGGATTCTCAAGAAGAATCCAGACCTTTGTCCGATATGAAGCAATTTCAGAGAATGGAAGCCCAGACTAAGCTCTCGGTAGTTCTCAATCATGAGGAAATTTATTGGTTCTAGAGGTCCTGAATCAACTGTCTCAGACTCAGTGACAGAAATATGTCCTCCTTCCACAAGGTAGCTAGCTACAAACGGCAGAAAAATGTTGGAGTTATGTCCTTTCACGGCCTTACCAAGATTCTCTCACTCAGTGGGAATGAATGAGATAACATGATTCTAGGTTCTTGGTGCACTGGGGCTTAGAATCATATACCCAGTAAATGAGGCAATGACTCTATATGGGTGAGAGAGAGAGATGGCTTATGGAGGTGTGAGGGTCACCTCTAGTCAAGGATACAAAAAAAGAATATGCCTCATGGATAATGTGTTGGCCAAGGCTAAGAAAACCAAAAAAAGAGATTAGAACCTGAGTATCTAAGAGTAATGGCCTTGTATAAGATGGTCATGACTCATGGGACATGAGTCGGTACCCTAACACTAGACCACCCTATAGCATGTGCACTTACAGTCACACAGGACACCACTCTTCTAATGTATTATGATCCAACTAAGAAGAGTTAGTGCACATGTGCCTTGAGAGGACCCATGTATGTGAGCACTACTATATCCCCATGGGTGCACCTGTAATTCACTGACAGCCAAGAGTGTTGGGACACTGATTGGGGTGAATTTGATAAGCCATATTATGTATCTCTGCCAGATACTACAGAGCATAAGCTTGTTGGCTCATTCTGAGAGAATGTGTCATCATGTCAGACTAGCCCAGTGGAGTACTCCGATGACCAGATATTAGCCATGAGATCTCATTTACACATTGTCCAATTTTATTTTGATGCCAAAAGAAGTATTTTGAGTGGAAAATCATTTAGAGAATTTTTTAGAATTTTTCAAAGCAAGATAATGAGCATTATTGAATTGCTTTGAGAAATTCCAATCAAAGACAGACTAATGGGGGCCTACACGTACCATAAAAGTGGCCATAGGGTGGCCATGTGACACCCACATCATTCCTCTTGGTTTTTGACATCATCATGATGTCATCACTAGTGGGATGTCCTATTTGGTATTTATAATATTGCTTCAAAAGGCATTTTATAAAGTTCGAAATAGAAATTGCGTTATAAATAGTGTTTTTCAACTGTTAGATAATAATGCAGTGTTTCAGCTACCCTATGAATTTCTTTCTTAATAAATACAGATCATTTAATGTTACAAAGTAGTATATCCATTCAAATAATAGGCGTCATCAGTTGCATGAACTCAAGAAAAAGAATAACACAAGCATAGTAACCCTGCAAAATTTTTAGTTGGCATTCTTTCTTGACCAGCCTGGTAGCAATCAATGATATAAACCTTATACCTCATGGCTAGAAAGAAAGCACATTGCATAATTTACATGAAGATGATAGGATAAAAAAACTCAAAGAAATGCCAAGCAAAAAACTGCAATTCAATTATAGGATAAGCAAGAGATCACTTTTAAGATAAACTGTTCAACTATTTGCATATTCCTCAATTATAGGATAAGCAAGAGATTACTTTTAGATAAAATGTTCAACTATTTGCATATTCCTCACTAGAATAAGCTCAATATCAATCTTATTTCAGTGTTTTCCATGTACAAGAACACAACAGACATGGAATTCTATGACAATAGCCACAGGTTTTTCAAACTAAATAATAGGGAGGAAATGAGGTAGGAGTAAAACTTCAGCCATAATCGTTCCAGTGAGGCTTTAAGCTTCATAAGAATAACAAAATTGCCTGGACAAAATTCCCAATCTGAAATTTGCGAAGTTCATACACTTTTTGTTAAGGGTCCATGGGCACTACAAAAGGTGGCTCAGAGGAAACCATACACCATCGAAGAAACCAATGATACCTACTCCAACAATCCTTAAAAGCTTCAAATAAATTCTCTAAAAAAAAAGAAATAAATAAATTACCCTGCCACATCACAAACAAATATAGACTCATCTTCATTTCCAATAGTAATATATAGTCATCATTTCTGCTCATATTGACACATTATAAACCCATCCCAAATAATTACCAATTAAGACATCCAATTTATCAAGATAAGAAAACCAGCCACTGAAATAATCAAGTTAAAGAACATGAGAACAACCAACTGAAGCCATGCAATCTATCAATAAATGGAAAACCAATTTAAGCTATTCCATTGATCAAAACAGTAGCAAACTAATGATCTAACACACCCAAAAAAAAGAAAAAGAAATTCAGATAGACTATAAATGATTTCTCAAGAACCAAAGAAAGTGATTAAAGAAAACAAGAACCAACCTGCTTGAATATGGCATCAGAGCTGAGGGGGCTCTCCTTCACTCTCCTATGAGCAGGAGCAGCAGCTCGATAACCATGACTCACCGAAATGCTTGAAGGGCCAACGTGATCACCATTATGCATGGATTCATTGTCTGTCCTAACATGATTATCATTTTCGATGGCGGATTCTTTATTCAGTTCAGAATTTTCACCATTTCGATTCGAATCCTTCTGCACAACAAATCCCTCAACACTCTGAAGAGAATTTTCAGGTGAACACGAGGAAGAAGATGACGAAGATGATGAAAGGGATGTATCCACAACCGTGGCAGCGTTTTGGGGCAAAGATCTCTGACGAAGAGTGGACGATTTTTTAATTTCAGGCGACATTGCAGAATCTCTCTCTGTCTCTCTCTGTAACACTACAGCTCTCATGCACAAGTCATAACATCGTAGGAATTCAATTCGCTATTCTCTCTCTACCTCCTCTCTGTCTTGCATTCAAACAGAGTCCAATTCTGTTTCTCTCTCTAGCCTAACATATCATGCACATGCTGCAAAAACAAGAGTTGGGTTTCGATCTTCTCGCTCTAAGCTGCACAGAAGATTCCCGTTGGTCTCTCTCTTCTCTCTCCAATTTATGAAAGATCTTTCTCTCTCTACTGTTCTTCTCTGGTTTTTGCAGCAGATAAAGAAAAGAAAAAAAGGCCGTTTTTTTTTTTCTTTTCCTTTGCTTACTTTCTGGTAGTCCCTCTGGTCTAGCGCCCATTTGTTTGCTTTGCTCGAGGACAGCATTTTGAGAGAGAGCCCGTTGATGGCCCTGTCTTTTATAAAACTCCCAAAGAGTCCTGTTCTTTTCGAAAGCCGGGGCGTTTTCCTTGTGACGAGTTGATAAATTCATAATAAACATACTGCAACGGACATTAGATTTGATTCCATGAGTAGTTTATCGATTTCCACGTCCAAACGGTCCAGATTTTAGGAGCTATTTTTCTCTTTTCAGTGGGTATATTATGCACCCTTGGCAGCGCGGTTTATTTTTACTCCCCCATTAACAGGGGTGATAACAACAGGTCGTGTCCGGCCAGACCCTCACCAGGACCCAAATAAAATGATACGGGACGTAGACCTAGACCCGGATTTGGACCTGAAAATATAGTATGGGACCGAGATTGAGACCCGGCCTGAAAATTAAAATATTTATATAGTTGATTATATTTAAATACATTTTATATATTGGGACGCGAAAAATATTACTAGATCCAAACTTGAGCGTACCCAGATCCAGACCCAAATAACGTTCATGTTCAAGATTTAGACTCAAACCCCCATTGAGTCTAAATTCTAGACCCAGATCGGGTCTACCCCCTCAGATCCCAAAGTCAGGTCCGGGTTCATTATCACCCCTTGATAAGAAGACTTGTTTGGGAGGATTTTCTTGTTTTGATATTATTAATTTAATTAATATAAAATATGACATCTTTAATTCCCACTGACAAGGTCCCACAACAAGACTTTAGGAACCCATTCCAAATCTAGCTAAGTCGTCAGCCGCCTTCCGATAAATATGCTTCGATAAATATGCTTGAACGAGACTATAATGGACCTACAAACATCAATGATTTCCATCCATAATGATCCAAGTTTCCAAGGTAGACTAAACTGTTTATTACAACAATTAATGGTATTCAAAGAATCCCTCTCAACGTTACAAACTAAAATTTTTAGAACTTTTTAAGAATTATTAGATGATTATTATTTTCAAGAGAAAAAATTCAAAGTTGAATTTTGTTTTGGAGATTGGTTTGGATTTGAAACCTTAATTTCAAACTCCAATTGGACCGGGTATGGATCCAAGATACGGATCCAGGTAGGAACCAGATTCAGAATTTAGATCTGAATAGTATTCAGATTGAATCCAAGTATAGGTAGATCAGATATGGATCTTACCCGTTACTAAAATAATATCTATAGATATATAGGAAAAGTCTTTCCAACGCCTATAGGCTAAAATGAACAGTGATTTCACTTACCCTCATCACCGTCCAAAATTCATCGCACAGTCACGATTATCCAGTAGTATTTAATTTTTCATTTTTTTTCTACAAATTATAATGATCTAAAATTTGAAACATGTACATCTTAGTGAGGCGCATCTAATAAAAATATAAAAAAAATAATTCGTAAAAAATAATTGACCAAAATACCCTTGAAACTCTTGATGGGTATTTTGGTAAATTTTTTTATGTAAATTTTTTTTTGATATTTTTCATACATTCGCTTATATTTGGATGAACACACACTCTAAATTTTAGGTCATTCTGATTTGTATAAACTAAATTACAAATAAAACATTACTGAACAATTGTGACCGTACAATAAACTTTGGGCGCTGATGAGGATAGGTAAAATTACTATATATTTTCACCTATAGGCGTTATATATATAAGTAATGATCCTATAGGACCTTCCCCACCCATGTGTGTAGGACTCCAAAAGGTCACCATTAAAGTTAGCACAGATCTCTAGAAAAGTTATCACATGATTGTGGGACTTAACTTTTCTAGATATTCGTACCAACTTTAATGGTGTTC